GAGACCCCTGGCCTAGGCTTTTACATCCCCTGGCTTAGGCTCATCACAGCCGGGATGAGCTTGATACTTAGATGGGTAGGCAATGAAGAAATCCCACAGCTAAAGGCCATACTGGGAAATTGAGGAGGGGGGAAAAAACAACCAATGCCCTGTGGTATCCTCTTCATACTATTGTCAAGATATCTGCACAAAATTGAACTCAGCGTGAAGGATTTTTTATAGTGATAGCATATATACTTATAAAGCACTATGAAGCAGCATATGTGCTTTACAAGCCCTGCTCTTAAGAGGTTGACAGAGTCAGCCTATTGCCCCCCAACAATCTGGGTCCTCATTTTACCCACTTCGGAAGGATGGAAGGCTGAGCCAACCTTGAGCCTGGTGGGATTTGAACTGCTGGCAGCAATCAGAGTCAACCTGCAATATTGTATTCTAACCACTGCGTCACCACAGCTCCACCTTTATCTTTTAAACGGGCTGCTCTTTGACTCTGCATATTTATACTTAATTTCATTAGTCAGTGCCATCATAACTTTGAACAGTTGCTGAACAAGTGGTTAGTAAGCATCAGCACTGAAAAAAATGACATATGACCGCTTTTCACACTTATGACCATTGCAGCATCCCTACAATCACGCGATCAAAATTCAGACATTTGGCAACCGACTCATATTTATAATGCTTTGCAGTATCCCGGTGTGATGTAATCCCTTTTTGCGACCTTCTGACAAGCAAAATCAATGGGGAAGCTAGATGCACTTAACTGTGTTACTAATTTAACACCTGCAGTGATTCACTTAACTGTGGCAAAAAAAAATTTGTAAAATGGGCAAAACACACAAATAACTGTGTCACTTAGCAACAGAAATTTTGGGCTCAATGGTGGTCATAAATCAAAGATTACCTGTCTAATAAACTGGAATTAAGTGGAGTTTTGCTTTTGAATTTATCTGGGCAAATGACTAATGGTTATTAGGAACTAGTTTGGCTCCCAGGGTAGATTTACTTGCAACTCTGTTTTATATCATATCTTTCACTAAGAGTTAGAAAAGCAGATTATATGTCTCTGAAAAGCTGTGTGCTACCTGATTGTGGAAGATATTATTGTTGAGATAATTTAAATACTATAAAAATGTTTTCCAAATGGAATGTTAATCTGTCTCAAAATAATTAAAATGCTCATAGAAGCTCCTGCATATCTTTGATTGATGCAGGTATTGAATTGTGCGGCAAAAATCTGGATGACCAGTAGATGACTGGAGAATAAAAAACAAATTTCTCTTTGTTGCCATCTAATAATGTCTGGATTTTAGCAACTTGGAAACTTATGCAAGAAGGAGGTTTTGAACTAAGTTGTCAACTTTTGTTACATACTCTTAATATTTGGGTTCAGTGCGCTTCAAATATCGATGCGGGGGGGGGGGGAAGAGTTTGCAGAAATTTTGTCACACATCCCAGTGAGGCTTCAGAAAGTTGAAAAGTTGTGCAATTGCTGGGATTTGGTGCAGAATATCTGCAAAAAAACAACCCTGATCAATAACTTGGTACTGATCTCCTAAAGCCTGTCTAGTATAGTATGCACAGCAAACTTTGTTTATCTCTGTTCCTGGTTTTGCTACTATATAGCAAAATTAGATAAACGTTTATTAATTCTACCGTAATTGTAGCTGAGTGAAAAAGGCAATGTCACGATGATGTAGTTTAGGTCATTTAAATAAAGTTGAGTTAAACTTAAGAGTTCAGAGTTTAGGCCTAATGGTTCACAGAGCCAAGGGTTCTTTAAATAAGTTATACCATTCTGCCCAGGTGAAATTAAGGTAAAGATCTCACCTTTTTTGAATATTTATACATATTTTGTTTATTTTCAATAAACTAATGAGGATTTTTTTTTAAAAAAACTTCCTTTAACAACTTTTATAGAGGTGCTGGGCAGGAAGTCGGAAGATCATGTATTGTTTTGGAATTTAAAGGAAGGAAGATAATGGTAATGTAATTTTTTTGTTACATTATTTGTAAAATTCTTAATTTTAACTTTTTTTGTTATTCGGATGTGTGTCCATTCTTAGCCATTAGCAACCTCTGGACAATATTAATTAAAAAATATGTTAAAACAACTTTTAAGAATAAATGTTTTTAGAAAAATATATTGCATAAGATTGTAATAAAATATACTCACATGTCCTGTAATAAAAGTAGCAGCTTATGCACTTGTAGCTTTCAATAGACCAACTACCTAAGGATTTTCTTATACATTTTCATGCACTACATTTGGCTGTAATAATACTTCTATGTTGTATAAATTTACTGATAATATATAATTTAGTGTCCTCACTTAAGTGTATATTCTGAATCCTTCCCCCCAAAATGTATGTATGGTGGAGAAGTGTAGAATTAACAAGGTATATCCATGGCTATTTTTATGGTTTTTATCTTGTTAAAATTTCTTTAATAAAAAATATTTTTTTAAAAAAGAAAATCCTTAAATTATCCCATGAATCCCAACCTAGTCCAGTCAGCTTCAGCATAGACTTATGTCATCTTTAACATTTGGTGGGTTTAGGCATGAGGGGACTGTCCTAGGGGGGAAAAAACTACACTGCCACATTCTTGTTGGCTGTTCAGTAAGGAAATAAATTTTGAGGTATTTATCTTGGCTATTCCGTTTTTCTGTTAATTACACAAAGATGAGAATGTTTGAATAATGTTCCATCTTAATGAAATTTCAATTTAAAGTTATTCATTGTACAGCTTAAATTTTATTTCAATATTACTTGTAAACCACATTCAGAGCAATAGTGTTAAAATTCATCTCATCTTCATTTCTACTAATTTCATAGAAAATTTCTACTCCAGTTCTGGTTTGTTTGTTTTTCTGTAGTATACTGGACAATTATTTATTATTGTCATATGAAAATAACATGCAAATCCTAAGTATGCAGTATAAGCTTCATTAGTTTAACTTTGATGCCATAGGATTTACATGTATGTATACCTCTAGTGATAGGTAATATTCTTGATTTCAATATGCATTTTCAGCTTGACTGTGGAATCCACCCTGGCTTAGAAGGAATGGATGCTCTTCCTTACATTGATCTTATAGATCCAGCTGAAACTGATCTCCTTCTGATAAGTCAGTAAGTGATGTATTATTTATCTTGCCTTTAACCACTACTATGGCAGCTATAGGCTTCAAGAAACTGTTTCTGGATTCAGCACGGAAACATAAATGCTGGTTATGGTTAGGCACAAAACTTAACATGTGTTCTTTTTCAAAGCCAAAATCATTGTGATTTTGAAGTTCTGTCAAGCTGTTCTGAGAGGGCTGCTATTTGGCAGAACCAAACTGGAACATTCTGGAAGTTCCGGGTTTGGGCCAAATCTAGAGTTGTCTTAAAGGGAGAATAGGGGAAGGCTGCCTCTCTCTTTCTCCTCTTCCCCATGCTGCTGTGTGGCTTCTGCTCTAACTTGTTGCTGGTTATCTAATCATCTTGCTTTCCCTACCTCCCTTGAGTTTCTCCATCCCCTGCCATCATCATTGTTCTTGACTTTAAACATGGCACATTTAACCAACCTATCCACTGCCCTGATCTTCCTAAAATCTGCCTTTTCTTAATTCTTCTTACGGTGCACTTGAAACCAAAGAGTTTGTCTGTAACTACAGCTAAAGGACAGTCGGGAATGGAAAGACTTGAAAGGAGAGGGCTGAGGTCGGGCAGAGCAGCTGTATTGAAACCAAGGATAGTAATGGCAGCTATCCAAATCAGCCACCAGCTCTCTCTGCTTTTCTTTCATGAAATTCCCTAGACTGCTGCTGCTTGTCATTGTCTTACATCCCAAAACATCACTGCCTAGATTACTTCTCTTTCAGTCTAGAAACAGACCAAAATCAGCCAGAAATGAAGCCTCAGAATTCCTGCCAGGTTTTGGTATATGTATATTGAATGTTTTTCCCATCCATAGACTTGAAGCTTTGTTCTGTTCTTAGAAATCTAATGGATTGCACTCTCCCTCTGCCAGTCCCAGTCCTGTAAATGTTGCAAAGCTGATGTGTAGAATGTTTATTGGATTTGCCAGACTGAATTTTTAATGCTGAAGAAGTATAGCAGATGTGTTCTCATTGTGTTTAAGTATTTTAATAATATAAGAAATAAATTTTGTCTAGCTGTTTGCTGTAATAGCATCTACATCAGTTCCCATCCCCTGCCTTCATTTTTTTTTTATTTTGACTATTTCAGTTTCCATTTGGATCACTGTGGGGCATTGCCATGGTTTCTGCAAAAAACCAGCTTTAAAGGAAGAACCTTCATGACCCATGCTACAAAAGCAATTTATAGATGGCTACTCTCAGATTATGTCAAAGTCAGGTAAGTTAACCTTTTTTAAAGTGTAAAAAAAAAAACCCCGACCCTAAAATAAAATGAATGTGGACTTTGGATTATGTGAGTATTTTCAAGCCCTACCCTATTATAAAAATAAATCTGAAAATCTGTTGAATAAGATGGTGATCTGCCTTATTGTTTTATTTAGTAATATCTCTGCAGATGATATGTTATACACAGAGACCGACCTGGAAGAAAGCATGGAGAAGATTGAAACAATAAACTTTCATGAAGTAAAAGAGGTGGCTGGCATCAAATTCTGGTGTTACCACGCCGGACATGTTTTGGGAGCAGCCATGTTTATGATTGAAATAGCTGGAGTGAAGGTATTTCTTTAGAACGTGGAGAAATCTCTGGACCTCTGTTTCTATTAGTTTGCCATTTCAGAGGAACTCATTTTGGGGGTGTGGGGGTGTGTGGAGGTATTCTCTTTCTCTTACACCAGCAGCTTGGAAGATGAAAGGCCCCAGATATAAACTGTTCCCTTTAGCACTGAAAGGAAAGAAATCTAAACAGTAGCAGAACACTGTGCTTGAAATTACATCTTGCTATGTCAGATTGGCCCCTTGTTAAGCATTTACTGTTAATGAATCCACAGTACACTTAATCCACAGAATTAACAATACACTTGTGGAGATATTAAGGCAATAAACCAAAATTCATGGATTAGACATCTTTTTGTTGTTCAATCATATAATTACAATGCCATTTTACTTCTTTCTTAAAGCTTTTATACACAGGTGACTTCTCAAGGCAAGAAGACAGGCATTTGATGGCAGCTGAGATTCCCAATATTAAGCCTGATATTCTTATCATTGTAAGTTTCTTCTTTTAATATATCTTGGTGTGTTTATTTATTCAGTTAGATACAATTACACTCTCTTTATCTGAATAATTCCCCTGCCATAATGTGGTGTGGACAACCTCGGTCTTGTGCTTCCTCTTCAGTGACTTGTGTCCATCTTTTTGGTTAGCTAAAGATGAAGTCATGTCAGACTTAGCTGTCTCTTGCTTTTGACTCAGTAACATTGATCATTCAAAGGAGCAGCTTGCCCTGAAGACAATCCGTTGTTTGCCTAGCAGTGTAAAGTAATTTGTCCGTGGTTAACACTTGTGAATATCATTTCTACGCTATTTTATCATGATCAGAAATATTTTTGCACAATGAACTCATAAGAATTGAAGGTTGTCATTATGTGTGTATTTAGTGTTGTAATTCTGCAACTATTTGTCTAGGAATCAACATACGGTACCCACATCCATGAGAAGCGGGAGGAGCGAGAGGCTCGATTCTGTAACACTGTACATGATATTGTAAACAGGGGAGGGCGAGGTCTCATTCCTGTGTTTGCTTTGGGAAGAGCTCAAGAATTGCTTTTGATTTTGGGTATGTATTTACTGAATACTTCTAACTTTAACATATACAAATTGTTTTCTTAACGTGTTGTCTTGGTCTCTGACTGTAATAATAGAGGAAATTGGGATCCTTGACTCTTGAAGGGCAGATAACCTTTGTTATCTCAGCTGCACTCTACCTGGAACTGCCTTGGAAGATCACCCAACTTGCATATTAACACTGGGCAATCCAGTGTTGTTCTATAGCATCAATATTGAAGGAGCTGAGTTGGTTGATAGTACAGTATGTTTCGTGGCTAGGAGCCTTGCAATTTTAGAGACTGCTGATAGGTACTTCTAGATAACAGTCCCTGCTTCTCAAGATTTGTGACAGGAGACTCACAGGAAAACGGCTTCCTAGAAGACAAAGCAGAACCTTATTTTAAAAAGCTTTTAAAAACATGCCTATTCCAGGCTACATTTTGAAAAAACTTGGGCAAAAATGGGAGATACACCTGAGCTTGGAATAAATCTAGCTATTTTGATAATGAACTATAAAGCGTTATAATTTTTATGGTTTTATGATGATTCATGCTGAGGAATGCAGACAATACAAATGTGGAACGATAGCGGTTTTGCAGATATTTTTTTCAGAACTCAAATATTTAGCAATTTTTTTTAAACAAATTTTATTAGTTTTTACAACACAATACACAAACAAACAAGGCATAATAACATAAAAGATCTTTTCTGAAAAAACCAATAGAACATACAGAATAATTCCAAATTATAATATATATATTTACGTTATCTGTTCAACTTCACATCTTATCCCAACTTCTCTTTATTTCTCCCTTTCATTCTATTATTCAAATTATATTTCTTGCTAATTAAAATTTTATTGCTTTTCAAGAACAGTACACAAACAAAACGTAGAACATAAAAACATAAAACGTCTTTTCTGAAAGTTGCTTGATCCCGGGTTAAAACTCTTCGTACAGACAGAAATTCAAAAATCATATTCATTTTATATACCATTCCATATCTTGTTACCATTTTCAATTTTCTATATAGTTTCTTCCCTCTTTTATCTTTCTTGATTTTATTTTATTTATCTCATCTCAATTCAAATCATAATACTTATCATTCTTTGTCTGTTCTATTTCCAGCTATCCATTCATCTTTTCTCTGTAAACAAACTTCTCCTGTACACTGATTGGAGTATGACGTCTTTAACTCTTTCTCCTAACTTAATAATACTTAATATAACACTTAACTTATATTGGGATTCTGTTTAGTACATTCTAAAATTACACAATGTATTTTATAAGAAAAAAAAACAGCAACAACAAAAAACATATTTATAAGTATATAAGACCACTATCAATGCCATTAAAAAACTAATCATACATATTAATACTCATATCTTAAACATTTTTTCTAAATACACATATAAAAACACAATCTTATGTACCTTACAGAATCCCTTTTTCAATTAAATTTACCCATTGTCCCTAAATGAATTTTGTTTCTTTAAATCTTGCTTCCCACCATTAAGGCTTCTCATCCCTTCCTTTCTCTCTTGCTTATTCTTCTCCTTGCCCTTTTTACCCCTTTGTCTCTCCTCCTCCCTTTTCTTCTTCTGCTTTCCCCCTTCCTGTTGTTTTCTAACCTTGTATCCACCTTTCACCTCATTTTTCTCTTTTTTTGTTGTTTTTTCAGGCCTTAAAATCCCCTTTTTCTTTTCCTCTTTCTCCTCCTCCCCAAATAGGATCATTTGTTCATCAAAGATGGCTTCTTCTTTATCCCAGTCGTCCTGCTGCGCAGTCAATTTTTCATAGGTACATACCGCCATTTCTAAAAATTGAAAAAGAGTGCCCAAAGTATCTTTCCCATCTTGTTCTTCTTTTTTATATTTTTGATATTCAGTTTTTAATTCATCCACAAGCGATGCCATTGTAAAGAGAAAGAATTTTTTTCCAAAACAACCACCCGAGTGCTTTTAATCAAAAATAATTCCCAAGAGTTCCAAAGTCACCAAACAATCCAAATAAGCTATTTCTTTTAATACTTTTTTCTTTCTTCCATTTCTCTTTCTGGGGTTGCTGTTTGATCAAAAAGTTCCAATTAAGATATATCTTTTAGAAGTCTTATTAATATTCAATAGCTCTTTAAAATTCTAGGCAGTCTCCTCCTTGTTTAAATTCTGCTCCAATTTTTTTTCCTCTCCCTTCCCACTTACAGCAAAAAGATTTTCCTTTAAATATTCAGAAATCCATACCTCCAATGCGAGTTTTCTGATTTCTCTTAGAGTTCTATCGCTGTCACGTTTGGAAGGAGAGTGAAAAGACAAAAAGTTTTTCCTTTAATTTCCATTCGCCGCTTGACACATTCTGGACGCAATGTATCTTTAATAAGCTTTAAATTCCAGGGTACTTTCACTGTTACTTTGTCCCGGTCAGCAAAGATCACTTTCATTTCTTGACAGCTCCTCCTGCACTTTCTTTTTCCGGCTGAGCTCTTCTATGTGGCGGCCATTGCTGACCGCCGCTCAGCTGCCTTTGGAAAAGGGGGTTTAGCCGGCTAGGGAAGAGAGGTGCGATGTCTCTCGACCCTGCCAGACCCCCCCTGTCTTCGCCACCTTCTACGGAGGTGGCTTAGCTCCGAAGCCAAATGGCTCGGGGCACTCGGGCAGTGAACACAGGCAGAAACCGCGCACAGTTGCGGATTCCTGCCTGCTCCGAAGCGCTGCAGACCGGAAATCATATTTAGCAATTTTTAATATTAACTTCATGTCTTACATGTCTGTTTAGATGAATACTGGCAAAATCACCCTGAACTACATGAGATACCTATATACTATGCTTCTTCCCTGGCAAAGAAGTGCATGGCAGTGTATCAGACCTATGTCAATGCCATGAACGATAAAATCCGCAAGCAAATCAATATCAACAACCCCTTTGTATTCAAGCACATTAGTAATCTGAAGGTCAGTGTGAATAAGTGTATTGCTCAATGGTGGGATTCAAAAATTTTTACTACTGGTTCTGGCTAGGTAGGTGTGACCATGTGACTGGGTGGGTGTGGGGGTTTTTTTTTTTTTTTTCAGCACACCCTGCCCCTCCATTTTTTGGGCCTTCTGGGCCTCAAGCAAACCTCCTGGGAGCTGCTTTTGCTCCCAGAAGGTTTCCCTGGGGCTCAGGAAGGAAAAAAAATGGAGCCTGCACCTCCCCACATTCCATTTTGGAGCCTCCTGGGCCTCAGGGAAGCTTCCTGGGTGGCATTTTTGCTCCCAGGAAGGCAAAAAATGGAGCGCAGGGGGCTTCCATTTTTTTACCTTCCTGGGCCTAGGAAGCCTCCTGGGCGAAGCAGTAAGACAGCAAGGGGAATCCCGGCACAGCTGATCACAGGAACAGCTGATTGTTGGGAGGAGGAAAAAAAAGAAATACCTTAAGGAGTGACTGGGTGGGGAAGAATGCAGTCAGCTATGGCGGGCATGTGCACGATGTTGCGCATGCGCGATAAGGCTGACTAGGCGGGGAGGAGAGGGGCGACCGGGTTTGGGGGTATGGCCAGCCAGAAGTTCCCGGGTTGGCGACCCACGCCAAATCCTTGCTACCAGTTCGCCCGAAGCGGTGCAAACCAGCTGAATACCACCACTGGCCTTGCTACAGAACATGCAAATTGATTCCGAATAAATGTAGTTCTGGTTTATGGTTGAGCTTCTTAATTGCCCTAATCTAGTTATTGATAAATATCTCAAGCATCTGTAAGTTTATTAAAAATAGATTGGGAAACAGATGCTTGCTGAGTTGCCTTCTCCCCTTCTCTGCTCCAGCATAATTTACATTTTGAGATCTGGTGCAGTCAGAAACATAGCTCATTAACTGTAACTAATATGTTTAGATGAGCTGTAGTGGCACAGTAGTTAGAATACAGCCCTGCAGGCTAATTCTTCCGACTGTCGGCTGCCTGCAGTTTGGCAGTTTGAGTCTCACCAGTTCAAGGTTGACTCATCCTTCCATCCTTCTGAGGTTGGTAAAATGACCCAGATTTTGCGGGCAAGATGCTGCCTCTGTACACTGTTTAGAGAAGGCTATAAAGCACTGTGAAGCGGTAGATAAGTCTAAGTGCTAGTGCTAAGTTCTATTATGGGACAGTCCTGATTTCTAAAAGTTTGGCTATCATTTACCAAATGCAAGGTTAGAGTACCCTCTAGAGGTTACAGATATTAGGAGCTGTTCCTGTAATCCTTGTGGTCTACTGCAGTGGTCTCCAACCTTTCTGGACCGGCAGCGTGGGAAGTGGGTGAGAGGGGATGGTTTCCACAAATGCAGCTTTGCGTGCACGTGCGTTTGACCACCGCTTGCGTGGCCTGGCTCCAAACCACAAGAGCCAGACCGGAAGCACCTCCTCTTAGCTGTGAGCATTTTAATGATAAGCATCTCTCTGGGACTCATGGCATACAGACCTAGCCCAAATATATGGAACCCACAGTCCCTAGAGTCCCCGATTCTTCCAAACGGAAGTACAATACTAGACATTTTTCTTCTCTCTTATCCAGAGCATGGATCATTTTGATGACATTGGCCCCAGTGTGGTAATGGCTTCCCCTGGTATGATGCAGAGTGGCTTATCCAGAGAATTATTTGAGAGCTGGTGCACTGACAAAAGAAATGGAGTCATCATAGCAGGTTATTGTGTGGAAGGAACACTTGCCAAGGTGAGATCTTCTCTCTGTACTATGTGGAAGACATTAGTGCTTGAGTGCTCTATTGATTGTCATGGTTCCAAATAATGAACCCAGTTGAATCAGGACTCTGAGGCTTCAATCAGGCTCAAAAGACCTTTTATTGAGTGCATCATATTGGCACGTGGTAAGGTGAAGCTAGCTCTAAGTAATTCCCACACTTTAGTATAGTTAAAAGAGTAGAAACTTCCCACCCCACCTCAGGTATCTTAGGTTACGTTAACCAATCAGTCCGACAGCCGCTTCCCCCTTGGTCTCAGCAGATGTTTGTTGCCATGACCTTGGCTCTCACGTTGATTCTGGTCAATGTTTAGCAGTTTTAAGGCATCACATTTCAATCCTTTCTGATTTCCCCCCTCCCTCCCAAGAGTGGCAGCTAAGAAACGGAAAAAAAGTAAGCTTGGATGAAGATGTTCTGAGGGTTGACATTGGTGCTTAAAAGACAACCCATACTTAGTTTAATCAAGTAAACTTGGTAGCATGGTAATGCACAATATACACACTATTGATATAGATACAGCCTTATTTATTTATGCATTTATTTCATATTAAATGTTTATTCTTGCTTTACAATTTATGTGACAAAAATGGTAAAACTTAACTGTGTGATAGTAAATAATTAGGCATGAAAGGCGAAAATATTTGCAGCTCAGGGTTGAACTGTGAGGCTCTTGATGCTCTCTGAGCTCAGTTGTTTTCTTACAGACATTTCATTACCAAACTAGGTGACATCATCTGTGCATTCAGAGAGCACCAAGGAACCAACAATTGGATATGATTAAGGAGTTCCAGACATCAATTCTTCAATCTGTGAGAAAGCATATGTCCTAGGAGACTAGACATCTCAAGAACAATTGAATGGCCTGCATAATCTCATATGTTCCCTAAAGAGGCACACAAAAGCACTATGTGTAGCATCACACAGAGGATTTAGGAGCTCATCCAAGAATCTCACCTCTGTTGCCAAGCAGTGGCTTATGTCATTGCCTGGTGGTATTCCTGTGGACGTACATGTGTATTTTACACATATTTAAATTAACTTACATCAAGGCTCTTTTCCCCATGGCAATTGGGTCCAGTGACTCATTGTAATTTGGTAAACAATTGTTTGGATCCTCTCCAGCTATTATAGTAAGTTATTTGTATGTATTTCCATGACATCTGGGTATTTTGTAACGAAAGGCAGAAACCTTGAGATGTTAAATTTGGTAACTTGGCCAGACTGATGCCCAGAATTGTTTGCTAGGCGTTTAAAAGCCATGTTCCATAGTCTATTTTTCTGTTGTAAATAAAATAATAAAATATATTTGGAATTTGTGTATTTTCTGCTCTTGCAGCATATCATGTCTGAGCCTGAAGAAATTACAACAATGTCAGGACAAAAGCTACCATTGAAGATGTCTGTGGATTACATTTCTTTCTCCGCTCATACAGATTACCAACAAACCAGCGAGTTTATTCGGGCACTCAAACCCCCCCATGTGGTTAGTATCTGGCTTCTTTTCAAGACATTGAATAATTATTGATCAGTTCTCAATACAAGTTCAAGACATTTTATTTTAGGTTCTCAATCTAATGTTAACCTTCTCCTTTCCTGTATTAATTTACTATCAGCTATATTTAATACGTTTATCATTCCTTTTTGATTGTTTCTCAAAAATATTATTTTAAAACCGGCTCTTCAAGAAATGTTACAACACATATTGAGATAATACTTTGGAAAAAAGTTCCAAGAAAGAAACAAGAACACCTGAATGATATAAGAAAACAATGATATAATGAAGAATCAGAATATTTTTTTAAAAAAATGAGGATTCATGTCCCAAAGACATTGTGCATTTCAACACTTGTCCACCACTTTCCTTCAGCCTATTTCACTGGCAAAAAAAAATGGAAAAGCTTTGGGGGGCAACTTTTATGAAAAAAATGAGAGAACTGAGGGGTATCCTGTTCACTTTGCACTTTCCAAGCTGAGAAAGGTGGGAAAGAATAGTAACATTTGAGGACCAGGAAGATCTAGTTCAGTACATGGAAAATTGTACATAAAACTGTTAAAATCATACTCTGTATGTAGTAGCTGCTTTCCCTTCTCTTTCTTCCTCTTATCTCAAGAATGACCTTCTTTAATTGTGGATGCTTGTATTTGTCATGCAGATATTGGTGCATGGTGAGCAGAATGAAATGGCCAGACTGAAAGCTGCCTTAATACGTGAATATGAAGATAATGATGAAGTTCACATAGAGGTCCACAATCCTAGAAATACTGAAGCTGTGACTCTAAACTTCAGAGGAGAAAAACTTGCCAAGGTTTTATGAGGCTAATCTTTTTTTTTTTTTTGCTCTAACAAGAATCTTTTCCTGGGTCTTGGACAAAGGGCATTATGTTTCTTATTTAAAATATATTTAGTCTGCTCTTCTTGGATATAAGAATAATAAATTGTATAAACTACTGTGGAAAGAATAGGCCTTTTTCTCCAGAGGTAGAAACACAGGACTGAATGTATGGAGGGTGACAGTAGTAAAATCCAGAGTGTTCAGAATGTTGTGTTAGCTATAATAGGGTACAATTGTTAGAAACTTCTTCGTTGTTTGAAGTTGTTATTTACTAACCACAGAGGCATATTTGGCCTGATTATATTGAGGCAGAGCATCTTGAGATACCCTGTTTTTAAAACAGGGATAAAAGTATAAAAGTGGGAAGTATCACCCGAGATTTTTAGAAAAGCATCCATTTGTCAGTCAAAAAAATGGAAGAACTTAAAGGATGTTGTATACTTCATTTCCATCACTGTTAAATAATAAAGTGAAGTGTGATTTACTTAAAGATGTTTATATATGAGCCGAATAGGGAAACTTGTGGCTAAAATTCTACCTTCAATTGTTTAAATAGGGGTTATATATGTGATTCGCCTTTCTGTAATCTCTCCTAATAGCCACAATTTTGTACTTTTTCTTAGGTAATGGGTTCCCTAGCTGATAAGAAACCAGAACAGGGACAGCGAGTTTCAGGAATACTAGTTAAAAGAAACTTTAACTACCATATTCTTTCTCCTTGTGATCTGTCCAGTAAGTAAAAGTTATCCTCACCCCATATCCAATCGTTCATATATTTTTAATAAGCCCAATGTGTGCTTTTTATTCAAAATTCATATTTCTCAATTTGGACTGTGAATATTCAGTGATGACAGTGATTTCATATTCATAAATTAATAGGTAGTCTGTACTGTTTATACTGTAGCTTATACAGTTAAAATTTGGGATATCCATTTTAAATGAAGAAAAATTCCAAATTAAAATGTTTTACAGTACTGTAATATCAGTTAAGACTAAAACAGTTCTTGGAAATAAAAGTCCAGAAATTACACCTGTTCAAAGCCTTGAAGAAGAGAGGCTTCACTTCAGTAAAAGTGGGCCCTTCAAGACCACTCTGCAGATTGCTACCTGAAACACACCTGAGCACTGCCATATATCTCCTTTCTTAAGGCAGCTACTTTGTGTTGATATGATGGACCCTCTGAAATGAAATAGATCTGGAAAGGAGCTAGTAACTTTCATATCACTCTCTTAGATTAATTGAAGAATAATGTGGGCCCCAGGCTGTGGCGCATACTAAATATTGTCTTTTTTTTCCCTTTAAAATTGTTCAAGATTACACAGATCTTGCCATGAGCACTGTGACACAGACACAAGCTATTCCATACACAGGCACATTCAGTCTGCTTCATTATCATCTGCAAAAATTAACAGGTATGTAGATAAAATACTTTAGGATTATTATTTTTTTTAAAAAAACTTGTTTTTTATCTGCTGCTCTTCTGGTTGCTTAATTCTATAAGATTCAGTTTGATATTAAAATTTGGATGAATAAATGTAATGGGAGATCAATGATTAATATTCTGTAGCAGGGGTGTCAAACTCAATTTCATTGTGCGCCACATAAGGGCTGTAGTTGACCTTGAGGGGCCGGGCAGGTATGGCCGACTGGGTGGGTGTGGCCAGCTTGATGCCACCTCCCAAACGGCTGGCATGTTTCCTCTCTCCCCCCACCCCCTTCTTGGCCACAAAATCATAATGTGGGGTTTAGCCATTTGTTCACATTGATGACCAATTGCCAAGCCCCCCATGATCATGTGATTGCCATTTTAATTTTTCTCTGCTGACTTCCCCAGAAAGTTAGTGCGGAAACTGGTACGGAAGGTTGTAAGCCACTGTTGCCTGTCAAGAAGACTCCCTCTTGTTTCTGGGGGCTGTCTGAAAGACATCTCATGGAGCTGAGATTTCTAGCCCCACCAAGGATGTCCCCTCCCTTCTGTCCACTGAGAGGAAATCCCCCATTAGTCTACAGGAATACAGTTAAGTTCCTTTACGATTTTTGCTCCATTCCTATAGCCCAATAAAGGATTCCTCCTACTGGCCAGATTTTCTCTGGAAGCCTCCCCTTCATCCACTGAAGATTTTAGTTCTGTTCCTGCAGCCCAATGAAGGAATTGCCCCCGTGAACCCTCTCAAGTCTTCTTATTCCTTATTGGAACTTCTTACCTGGGATTTGTCTCCTTAACTACCTGGGAGATCACTTAACACTCAAACCTAGAGTGGTGAGATTGCAGTCATTGAGCGAAGTGGCCACTCAGTCATCTTGCTTAACAACCACTTTGCTCAACAACCAAGATTCCAGTGCCAGTTGTGGTCATAACTCAAGGATTACCTGTTAGCTTCTTTTTCACAAGCATTAAAGATTCTTAGTTACTGGAGGACTTCAGAAGCTCATTGGAGATTTCTTGATCAGGAAAGGCGCACAAGGTATTGAAAGATACATTTCGGAGCAGACCTGGAAAATCTTGTTACCTTGGAATTGGCTCTGCAATGTATCACAGAATTTTGTGCCATACTTTTGTGATTCTAAAGCCATTGCAGCAAGGGTGGATTTGCAAAATAATGAATCCATCTATTTTGATTGTTTGGATCTGCTTTAAAGAGATTAAGAAGTGTCTTTTTTTTTCCATTCTTTTTTCTTTTTCTTTTCTTTTTCTTTTCTTTTTTGCTCTTCTATCTGTGTATGTGTTATGGATTTGTTTTTAATTGTAAAATTAATAAAATTTGTTTTAAAAAAAGATTAAGAAGATAAGACATGAAATTAAAATGATTTGATAATTTGTATTTGAATGTATCTGATTGACACATTCACTGTGTACACATCTGCTAAGCTAGAACATGATTTGCCTGGTTTGAGTTTACTATCTTGCTAGATTTTAAGTATTATGGTTTTTATACTATTACAGTATTTGAACTCAACGTGAGCAAGCCTAACAGCATTTATTCAATAAACTATGGTTAAGCAAGCCAGCACTTCATGAATGTGGTCATTATTTGCCCATGCTGAATTGCTCCCAGGATTGTTGAATATATATCTTAGAAGGAAATAGGAGCCAGCAGTCCAAACACCTAATGAATAATAATTTAGCAGTTTGTGTGTGTGTGTGTTATAGTTACATGACAAACTTTGTTGTAATTTTACTGTTCTTGTTTTTTTTAGGTGACATAAAAGAAATAGAGGTCCAAGATAAGCCAGCTTTGAAAGTTTTTAAAAACATTACTGTGGTCCAAGAACCAGGCATGGTGGTGCTCGAGGTAAGGACGGTTTGACGGTTTTCTTACAGTATCTTGTAAACTGCTTTGACAGAGAATGAAACTATCTTATCATATATAAAGCAGAATGGCAGTGACTTTGATTATCTGGCGCTTCTTCAATTTCTAGCCATCAGTCATATCGTGATGCTTGTAGTGTACAAAGCAGTAAAACAACAGTCCAGCACCAATATATTATTAGTATAGAATTGACAAAATCAATCTGTTATAGTCCATCTAATCTTACACTCTATGGCATAACTTCCCATTTCATTCCTAGCTTTGTTCGGCCTATGCTTGGCTGCAGCAGCAGACTTACCATTTTTTCAATTGCCATCTTTTAAAAATAAATCCCACAAATAGATTTCAATACTTAACTGGGGTAACAATGACAGTCTGTGTTGCCAATTAAATAACTTTTGAAATATTAGTAATTAATATTTAATTATTTATTTAATAAATAAATAATTTAATTAACCCCAGTGGACAAATCTTCCTTGTTTTTCTGAAGGTCAGAAGATGGAGCTGTCTGGTTTGATTTAAACAATCTTTGTTTACTTTTCTTTTTCTTCAGTGGGTAGCAAATCCTGCCAATGATATGTATGCAGATACTGTAACAACAGTGATTCTAGAAATTCAATCAAATCCCAAAGTTCATAAAGGTATTCATCATTTTAATTTGATTAAGAGGTATAGACCAAAAATGCATGTGTTGTTCTGAAAGAATGCAGGGCAATTTCGTAGCCTAAAGGGCAGTACTTCTCTTATTCCAGTAACATGGTCTACTATGCACAGTTTAAAATTAATGTAATTGAGACTAAAGTAGATTATTCCCCATATCATGAAGGAGATAGTGTTAATAGCTTATTTCAGTATTAGTTAACCTGATTAGCTCAGCTGCAATTAATTATATTTAGGAATAGATCTCTTTAATACAGTTTCCTACATGTTAACCTCAGTTCGCAGTTGCTTCTTTGATTTGTCCGTGTAATTTTCTTGGCAGCAATTATGAAAGTAGTTTGCTCCACAGGTTTCATGGAGTTTTTTGCCTCCCTCTCTAGCCTACATTCCTAATTCCTTGCAAGTCTCCCATTCAAGAAAGAATAAACTGTTGACTTGGCTGACTTTGGATTTAATAGACAAAATCTTCTGTGTCTGGATTTCAGGCAATAATAGACTGCTCCTCAAGGTTTAATCCCACAAAATCTGATGAATGTGTCTAGATGTTTTCCCCTGGAAATATTGCTTCTTATTATCAATAAAATTGGTTTGCTTGTGTACAAGTATGTTTCAGGGCTCAAAAAATCAAATTCAGTCTTTTAACAGGCACTTGAATTTAATAGTCATCTCTTCCTCCTTACTGGTCAGTTAAATCAAGGGTTCATTGTATCTCTTTTGCTTATCAGATATAAGAAATTATTATGTTTGTCTACAACTGACAATCTGCTTTCCCCATACAGAATTATCTGATTCAAGCACAATTTAACTTACTCAATTTTGTAAGGAAAATCGTTTCTACTTTAAGGAACTTTTGTGTGTGCCAACATCTTTCTTCTTATGTGAAACTGGACTGTGCACATTTTTCAGGAGTTTGGTTGGAAGTTACTCTTTTGCCCACAAACCACGGCACTTTGGGGAAAATGCATAATTAGCAATTAAATTGCAGTACTCTCGATTTATGTTTTTCAGCAATGATGCGCAAAATTCCAAAAAAAGAAGAAATAGAAGATTATCACAAAAAAATGGAAATTATGCTTCAGTAAGTTATAATTGCGCATTTAACCAAAGAATCATAGACTGGTTACAGTAACACCGAGAATTATTCTCAATAAATGTTCCATTGAACTGAATAGGCTTTCTTTTAGTGTTAGTTTCCTTGAACAGACTCTATTCTAAATGTAAAACAGCAGCCAGCAAATGTATATATTTCTAACATTTAGCCTTTCATTTTGTAGGGACATATTTGGAGAAGACTGTGTAAGTTCAAAGAAGGATAATGTGCTTAGCATCACTGTGGATGGAAAAACAGCAAATCTCTCGTTGGATACAAGGGTAAATATAGCTAAATATTATAATTAGAGCATTTCAATATTTAGTAGTCATTTTGGAGAGTTAGAAATTTGCCAGAAATTACTATGAAATCAGGTAAAATAGTAAAGAATGTTGTAAACTAGGGGTGTCAAACTTGATTTCATTGAGGGCTGCATCAGGGTCTCACCGAGCTCTGTTTTTGCTGGCAGAGGTCTGTGGGAGGCTGTCGTGGTCAAAAACTGAGCCCGGCAAGGCTGCATGCGGCCCTCCCGAGCTCCATTTTCACTGGCAGAGGCACTGCAGACTGGTCATTTGTTGTTTCCAGGGCGGCCCTGTGGTCCTGCAGGCCACAACCGGCCACGGGCCTTGCATTTGACATCCCTATTGTAAACTGTAAAAGTGTCAAAAAATCTCCACTTAAGGCTTTAAGAAAAACCAATCCTTTAAAAAAAAAAACCTAGAAGTTAGGACAAAAATAGGAAAAATGTTGGTCAATTGAATACATTGAAGATTTTTAATAGTTGATACTTCACCACAAGCACTTGGAATGTGTTTCAGTCTAATAGAAATATTTTTGTTACTGAATGTTACAGCAACCTTACTATGCCAAAATATATTGAGAAAGATTACAAGATATCAGTTATTCAGTTCAGCATCTGCATTGTTATTTCTGCATTCCTTGTCTCATAAACAACATTTTTAGATAGCTTTCATTAAAGAATTCTGAAAGCATCTGTGATCATTTGGAGTAAGCTAAGACCTGCCCTGCTTGGTATTTCTGCTTCCTGGGTTTTCACAGTTTATCTGCATACACAGAAACACACCAAACAAGGCTTCTGCTGCAAAAAAAAAAATGTACACATTTGCAAGGGAAAGTAAAAAATATTCTCTAAGCAAAAATATGTTTTGTGACCAATGACTATGTTCCCAATTGTCTGTTTGAGCCAAATGGCTTATGCTACCCTTTTCTTAAATTCTTTACTTGCCATAATATTCCAAGCCACTCCACCCCCTTCTAGCTCATGGACATGTTTTTTTTTTCCCCAGAATGATGTGTTGGCAAAATACATATCCACAGCTCTCCAAAAAGTCATAAGCCTATGTTGTGAACACTCAGAATCTCTTCTTCAGCATGTACTTTCTCTTTTTGAATTACATCTTTTGCACTGTCACTTATACAGAATATTTTTCCAATGAATCCAGGGCTGCCATGGTGCCAGTGGGCCTTGCGTTCCCAAACATTTATAGGCTTGGGGTACTAAACAGCCCTGTGGAATTTACATATGAAGGCCACTTAAGGTTGCTTCTGTTTTGTTCTCTTTAGACTGTTGATCATGAACCAGGATGTGAAGATGATGACGAAACTCTTCGGGAAATGGTCGAGCTGGCTGCACAGCGACTTTATGATGCTATCACTCCTATACAATAAACGAATAGATTTTGTATATATCTGGATCGTCTAATGAATTTACACTTTAAAATTTTCTTTTGTTCAAATAATTTTGCTCCCAGATGGACAGACAAAATAACTTCTGTTTGTGTCTACAATTAAAAAAAATGTATTATAGAAAAAGTTCATTTCTCCTGGTTCATTGGTTATGAATGCCTAAAATACATAAACTGAGATTTTAAAAGGTTGGCAATTTTTTTAAAAATGCTTCAGTGTATTTTTGTTACAAGCAATAGCAATAACAATAGCACTTAGACTTATATACCACTTCACAGTGCTTCACAGCCCTCTCTAAGTGGTTCATAGAGTCAACCTATTGCCCCCAACAATCTGGGTCCTCATTTTACCCACCTTGGAAGGATGGAAAGCTGAGTCCACCTTGAGCCTGGTGGGATTTGAACTGCCAAATTGTAGGTAGCAGGCAGTCAGCAGAAGTAGGCTGCAGTACTGCACTCTTAACTACTGCAGCACCTGGGCTCTTCCATTAGACTCATATTAACAGAAGAATCAGAATGTTTTGAACTTATCATCTTAATATACATTAGAATCCACAGAAGTTGCAGTACAGATAGTTCAGAAGTTACAAGTAGTTATTTAATGACTGTTTGCAGTCACAGCAGCCACATAATAAAATGCTGAAGCTCGGAGTCTTTTATAATGCTGGCTTCACTAGCAATTTCCTCTCTGGAGGAGAAAACACTAGCAAAAACCATTGTTATTAATATAGTTTGGAAGGCCCCTTCTCCAAATCACATGATTTTGATAAGGGACTTCTGAACTATTGTGAAAATGAGGCCTGTGTACAGGTAGGCCTTGACTTACAACAGTTTATTTAGTGACCATTCAGAGTTACAACAGCACTGACAAAACTGACCTATAGCCATTTTTCACACTTACGACCATTGCAGCATCCTCATGGTCACGTGATCAAAATTCAGATGCTTGGCAACTGGTTCATATTTATGACGTCTGTAGTGTCCTGGGGTCACGTGAATCACCTTTTGTGACCTCACAAGCAAAGTCAGTGAGGAAGCCAGATTCACTTCACAACCGTGACAAGAAAGGTCGTAAAATGGGGCAAAATTCACTTAAACTGTCTCACTTAGCCACAGACATTTGGGGCCGAATTGTGGTTGTAAGTCAAGGACTACCTGTACAGGATGGTGACCGAAAGAAAAGCAGACCAGGTTGTGAAGCAGAGAGAGTCTTTACATGCCAATGGGCCTAGCTGGCTGATGCCTCCTCACATTTTTTGTGAGCTGATAGGCCTCCCAGTGCCTCCCCTACCCTGAGGCACCCACATAGAATCACTCAATTACTGCAGCGGCGAGAGCTTGGGTTGTAATTGTTGAGTGAAGTGGTCATGTGGGTGCCTCGCTTAAACAATAATTTCTTACCAAAGTTACGGCCTCAAATCAAGGACTACCTATACTAGTACTAGAATTGAATAAGAACGTTAGTTATGTCCTGGAACCTCTGTGCGTGCATAGATATACAAGCATATATAAGTGTTGTATTTGCAGTAATATGCAAAATGTCAGTGAACGTAAATGCAGACATACTCTAGAGAATACAATTTGCACTTGTATTTAGAGTTGAGAAAATTAAGGGTTCTGTAGGTCTGTCTTTAGGGTCTGGCAGTAAGGTGTCAGAAAACAGTCCTTAGATATGCCAGGCCACAGGACATCAGCACAGGTGAGGGTCAAAAAAAAGGAAAAGTGACTTCTAGGTGAGGAATGGCAAGCTAATGCATCTCTGGATAAACAAAGATGGCGTCACTTGTGCCCCCACTCCCCACACCCTATAGATACTCCTGCCAGGCCTCTAAAAGCCCTTGGTTACAGAAAGAAGTTTCATGGTCAGCTCTTTCTTTTGTAATTAAATTGCTACATTGCATTAAGTCTGTATTTTCTACTAAAATGGTCCCAGTTTCTAGTGAGAATGCGGTTCCATCTCAAATAGAAGGAAGCCAATCTTCTAAAAACACTGCATACCGGTAACTATATCAAGCTGGATGTACACAAACTCATAGTTTTGAAGACTATACCAAGCAATTTATTGAATATTTGACACAAATACTGTATAAGAAAAGTCCAGACGTTCCTCCCTCCTTTCATTATTAAATGACTATTTTTACAGGAGGAAGAAGGGACTTCTCAGTTGAGACAACTTGTTCAGATTGCAAGATTTTATTTATTGTTGTTGTTATCGGGGATAAGTTAAGCTCTGTGTCTCTACAATGCTCTCTTAGGTTTAATTGGTTTCAATATTTTTCTTTTAAAAAACAATTTTTCTTTATTAAATATTACAATAAGGTAAAAATAACATAAAATGTATGGTTAACAAAGTCACAAAGCAAAAGCAAAACAAAACAAAAAAATCTACCATAGATCCTTCTGATGCCATAACCACATTAATGTTGTTCAGTAACATCAAGTTTTTGCTCTAGTGTAATAACAAGTATCTTCTATTTTAAACTTGTACTGTTTTCTTCAGATGGAATCTTTATTTTCTCCATTTTGGGCACACCAAGAAAAGTAGCATCTTAAACCCCAAAAGTGACTATGCGTGTTATTATCTTCAATTGCCCACACACTAGCCTAATCATATTAACTAAATTTGGGGTCACATTAAACATGACCTGGTATCAATTTACAACTTTTACTAAATTAAATATATTATTTGAACTTGCACTAATTGTGACCTGCCTGTATACAAATAACCAACATAAAAGGGTCATCCTATAGCATGATTGATTATTGCTACAAATAGAGAATATCAGATCCGTTTGCTTTAGAAACTGGGAGGTCCTATTACATATGTGACATAGATAAGCCTCAAGACTGGCACTTATTTTCCAATGAACATTGCAACAAGAGAATTATGGAAACAAGAGAAAACAGACTGCTGAATTTGAAAATGTTGTATTTGGTAAGAAATACCGAATATTTGTTGGATGCAATTCATAATTCATTAGTAAAAGTGATTGAGAGCATGAGTTAAATGTGAATACAATTATAAAGATGGAATAATGGGAATTGCAGTGGAAAATTAAATTTACTTCAAATATACTTTGAGTTGGTACAAAGTGTTTATCTTTGATCAGAACTTCAATCTTGATTGCTAAAATTACTCATTCTTTTTCTACAAAATGCTGGAAATATAATGATGAGATTACATCACATTAAACTTCACTAAACCATACACTTGGCACCTGGGCCCTACTTCCCAAGAAAACGGTTTCATTGCCTTGTGAACCCCGGGTGTGGTGTAGACAGTCTAGGCAAGAAGCAAGGGATCCCTGGCGCTCTCTGAGGTTGGTTTTCTTCTTGCAGGAATTTCATTACCCAAAATAGGTAACATCATCAGTGCTAAACAGAAGCAAGAGCCCTCCATAGGACCCATTGTACAGGTAGACCCCAATTTATGACTATAGTTGAGACCAGAAAGTTTGTTACTAAGTGTGACAGTTATTGAGTTTTGCCCCATTTTACAACATTTCTTGCCACAGTTGTTAAGTGAACCACTGCAACTGTTAACTGAATCTTGGTTTTCCCATTGACTTCGCTTGTCAGGCCACCATAGGTGATCACATGACTCCAGGACATTGCAACCATCATAAATATCAGCCAGTTGCCAAGTGTCTGAATTCTGATCATGGGGATTCTGCAACTTAGGACTAAGTGTGAAAAATGGCCGCCAATCTCTTTTTTCAGTGCTGTTGTCATTTCAGTGACTAAAGGAGCTGTTGTAGGTGCGAGGACTACCTATACTGATTCTCGTCTGCAAATTCTTCCCCTCCCTCAACAGAGGGGAAGCAATAAGACAAAATCTATCTCCAGTTTACAATGCAGTCCCTGCAGCAGTTCTGAGAAGATTCCACAACCAATTGCACCCTGATTCAGGGGACCATGAGGGCATAGATAAACTCCCAATGCCTCCATAACTCTAAGAGAGAGTGTTAATGACCAGATGACTTGCAAAGAAATACAATCCTTCCATCCCCCACTCTCACCATCCTGTCAGAGCCTATCCTTCCATTCCCCTCACATTCTCAACTGTCAGTATTTATCCTTCCATCCCCCCCCCCGCCCACATTCTCAACTGTCAGTATTTATCCTTCCACACACATACCCTCCCTCCAGTCTCAACTGTCAGCACCTATCCTTCCATTCTCCTGCCATCAGAATTGATGAATCTCCTTGGATGAGAAGCGAAACATTTTCTTCTTCTTCCTCAAGGTAAAACAGTCTAGTGGCCCTTTGAAGAAAAAAAGCCCCTTTGGGACAACTATGACCTGAATGACCAAGAATCTCCACAGTCATTTGGCCTTACACTTTGGGATGAATTGAACATCCTTCGAATGGTACAGGAGTATGAATGGATTTCCAGAAAACTTGCAGACTACAGGAACCATTTGCACTTCAATTTGAGATGCAGACAAAACAGGCTCAATCCCATCAGCCTGTGCTGGTGTTCAACAGTGAAAGGACACAAGACAGAAAATCTCCAGAAAGCACAGCTCCAACTTCTCAACAAAAGAATAAGACAAATTAATTTTACAATTGAGGTTTTGAAAGAGAGTGGAACACAATCACTTCTTTCAACAGAAGTATTGGTGGAGGTCACAGAATTTAGGAAGAAGGCACAACTCTAGCACAATATAACAAGGACAAAGAAAGACAGAAAGGCAAATGTTCCACCCTACAGTTTAGACAAGAAAAAGCACACAAAACAGAAGAATCAATTCAGATGAGAGAGGACAGTGACATGTCTTAGAGAACTGACCAACAAAATCTGTCTGACAGAGAGGTTATTCAAACAGAAAATAATGTTTTATCAAGAACTGAATTTCGATCTCCTCACAGAGTCAGCCATCAAGAACAATAAATGGGCAGAACCAGGGGCAGAACAATTATGAAGGTATCTGAATATCCTCACCAATGCGAAAACACCCCTTTCCAACCTCACAATTAAAAAATGGAGAGCAGTGACATTCCTAGGAAGAGACCAAAACATCAGCCAATAAAGGAGGATGCAGAGTTATCCTGAACACAGATGACTACAATGCCAGGATAGATACTTTCCTGAAGGACACTGCTACATATGAGACTGTGAAGAAAGATCTTACCAGCAGTTATAAGAAAAAGGTCATCAACAACATTTTCTGCAACATTTACTGAAGGACAATGCCATTGACAAGTCCTGGGCAAGCTAATTCATGCATATATGGACTTCCCAAAATCCACAAAGAGGAAACTCCACTCAGACCAACTGTCAGCAGTAACAACTCTGTCACCTATAACATTGCAAAATATTTAACCACCCTACTAGCTTGTCTGGTTGGCAACACCACTCATCACATCAACAATTCACAGGACTTTGTCGGCAAGGTTTGGAAACTAAAAGTGGATCTCGATGAAACTATGGCTTCTTATGATGTGACTTCACTCTTCATCTACATTCCAACAATTGAAGCTGTCATGATAATGAAGAAATGTCTGCTACAAGACAGCACATAACCTTCCCACCATCCCATCAGAACCTATTCTTCCATCCCACCATCACAACTGATAAAGCTTCAACGAGGAGTGAAATGTTTTCTTCTTCTTCCTTAAGGAAAAACAATCAGTTGCCTTTTCAAAAAGCACCTTTGTGACAATGATGACCTGGATGACTAAGAATCTCCACAGAACTTCTGCCTCTGGCCTGTACTTCTGAAGAAATACAAAACACACACAGGCAGCCCAGTTTTCAAAAGAGGTGTCATGAAGTTTGGCCTTGCAGTCATTCTAAATCAGGAGTGTCAAACTTGATTTCATTGAGGGCCACATCAGGGTTATGTTTGACCTTAGGGGATCGGGGTGGGCGTGGCCAGGGTGTGGCCAGGGTGGGCATGGCCACTTGTGTCACACATAGCCTCTGGGTGTTCCATTTTCAGTGGCAGAGGCCCCATGGGCCAGTCCTTTGCAGTTTCCAGGACAGCCCCTCAGGCCAGATCTAGGTACCTTGAGTACTTAGGTACTTAAGTATTTAATTTTTGGCTTTTTATTACATTTTATATATATAATGTATTGCTTGTCTGGACCAGCTGTTTAATACCTCATTCTCTTTAGAAACTGGAACCATTTGAAATAGAAAGTTCAGACCTAATGCAATGTAGCAATTTAATTTAAAAAGAAGAGTTGATCATGAAACTTCTGTCCACAGGAGGAGGCATAACCAAAGAGCTTTTAGAGGCCTGGCAGGGGTATCTATAGGGTGTGTGTGGGGAGGGGCACAAGTGACGCCATCTTTGTTTATCCAGAGATGTATTAGCTTGCCATTCCTCACCTGGAAGTCACTTTTCCTTTTTTTGACCCTCACCTGTGCTGATGCCCCTTAAGTACTTAAGTACCTTTCTGGCCTTGAGTTTGACACCCCTGTTCTAAGTACTCTCCCAATCCTATTTGTTTATAAATAACTACACTGCTGCTGAAAGTTACATTAGAAACATGCTTGAGCAGAAAGGACAGTAATAGTAAATTGTAGCTCAGGGTTGAAATGAGGGGTCGTTGGTAGTGCTCTCTGAGCTTGGTTGTTTTCTTGCAGATCTTTTGTTGCCCAAACTAGGTAACATCATCAGTCCTAGTAAGCAGTGGGGTTTGCTCTCAATTTATATTTTGGTGGCCTGCCCTGTCAGTGTTAGTGGGAGTGATCTTGGAGATTGTTTGGTTGGGCTGTTTACTGCTAGCTTGTTTGGCAATTCCTTGATTGGGGCATTGTTTACTTTTTTTAAAAAAAGTTTTTTATTAGTTTATAATACAGCATACAACGAAAATACAAAAATAAACAGTAGAGAAAATACAGAAGGGAAAAGGGAGAGAAAGAAAAGGGGAAAAAGAAGAAAAAAAAAGCACTGACTTCCAACTCACTTTGGTGCAGTAGAATAAGGCATTAACATCAAACCTCAACTTTTTACTTTTATGTAACAGTATAAACTAGCCATTTCTATAACAACAACTCTATCTAAACTATAAAACTATAAAAATCAAAGTTTCATTTTTTCCACCTCAAACACAAAGTCCAGAAGCAGTTTCCAAGTAGAAATAGAAGGGTTTTTTTTCCCCTTGATCAAAACAGTCAATTTAGCCATCTCTGCTAACTCCATCAATGTTTGCAGCCATTCATCCATTGTAGGGATCGAAGTGAGCTTCCATTTCTGTGTATGAAGTAGTCTTGCTGCCTTCAAGCGTTGTTTACTTCTGGATTGATTGTCTGATATTAATCTTAGTGTTAATCTATGTTCATCTGAGTGTTGATTACTGATAGGGAGGTGCTTTTGTCTTTTTGTTCCCTTTTTGGCTTGTTGAATGTCTCTTTTACACAGTACGTAGAGCTTGTTCATGTTTATTTTGATGGCAATTTGTCAAGAGTGCAGGGTGCAGCCGGCTTCTGATGTTTTTGGACTTGGCTTGATCTAAGACGATCAATAATATAACACATAAAGGCAACCTTTTTTCTGTCCAATAAGGCTATGTCTTTAAAAATGTGTAACACAGTCAACACAGTCATATTGTTTATCAGAGGTTCCAGCAAAATCTGAAAAGAGTTAAACAAATATTTTAGAACAGTATTATCTGGATATGTCATTGTTTTTATGCTATGTCACATTAAGAAAAAAGTAGCATTTTATTAACATTGCACTTACCTATAATTTTACAACTGTTTATTTTGCTATGCAAAATATTAATGTATCGAATAATACAAAAGAACTGGATTTCTATAAGAATAATTTTTGATGCATTCAAAGAAAGCGTGCTGCTAAAAGGTTCTAAAATTCTAGTGAGGGGGAATGAAGAGACGACATTCCCAGTTGTGACTTTCCAAAGTAGAGACATCAATTGAAACGTGTCTATTTCTCTCCCAGAAACGGAAGGGCAAAACTTACTGTCATCATCATCCAGTTTTATTTTTTTGTTGAGGTATATGGAGTCAATTTTTTACCCATTTTTTGCATATATTTCTCCATAGCCTCTTGAAGTTTTTTCTGTTTTTGCGTCTCCTTTGCTACTTCTTGGAAATTGATGAAGCACAATCAAAATTTAACTTTGAATGCATTGTATAATTTTACTTACTGAGGTTGTTCTAATTTCTTGCTACCCTGTAAGATACTTATGATTTTCAGTTCACCTATTTCTTTGTGGAACCTCTGGATTTCCTCTGTTAGTTTTTTACATTCCTCATCTTCTTTCATTGTGCCTTGACTTTCTCTAAGTTTCTTCTTCAAGGATTTGTTTTCCTTTGCAAGATTTGCAACTTCGCTGGCTAAGAATTTGTTTTCCTCTTCCAGCTAAAAGGCAAGAAGCATTCATCAAACATAGGATACAAATAAATAGACAAAAAGAGAAGCTTTAAACAGGATTATAAGGGAAATGTATTACTTACCTCTCTTATTATGGCATTTTTCTTAGCCATCTTCTCTTGGTGTTTTTCCTTGAGTTTTTTCATCTCCACTTGTTCTGTATTTTAATGGAAAAATGCTTGTTCATTCATTTAAGACATATTAAGCTACCAACGACACAGCAATTTAAGACTGGCCATTACAAATGGCAGAGTCCATGTAAAATGCAATGTCAGGATGTGTTATTAGTGCAGGAAAACAGATCTGTTTGCATCTGTTTCCCTTTAACTTAAAGGGAGGTCAGAGACTCTCCCAAAGACAGTAGTTATGAAGGAAGGGAGGCAGGTGCAGAGGAAGGACTGCCATTCTATCCTCATTCCTGCTACAGATACCCCCACAAAAAATATGTTGGGTTGCTTATCTTTGTCTCTTTGATGTTTCTTGTATTTTTGGAGACAGTACTGCAAAAAAAAAAAAAAGACTTTGAACACTGAAGGCAAACCAACTGGAGGAGGGGAAATTTAGTTATCCTAGTTTTCAAAATAACATACATACAGTATGCCTTTCCAAACCAAAATGTTAATATTTGTAGCTGGAACAAAGTATGGTGAATTTAGATTTTTAGCAGCAATACTTACAGGCTGATTACAAATGAAACTGTTGAGAATGATTATTTTGACCTATTTGTAAAAATCTGCCAGGAATAATAATGTAATCCTCTAGCTCTATTTAAAAAAAAACCAACAGTATTAATCTTGCAGATAATCCTTCTAAGAAACTATATTTTATCTCAAAACTGGAATATGGAAAGAACTATATTAAAATTTGATTTGAATTCTTAATAGACATTAATCTCTGGAAATATTGCTGCTTCAAAATAATCATAGTTTTGTTTGTGCAGAGGGGACTGTATCTTTTTGTGCACAACAATGATGTAAACAAATGGGTTGTTTCAACTGCCCATCTCCTTCCCAGAGAGACTATAGGAGCTCTGCAAATGAAATATTCAAGACAAAGGCCCCATGTACAAAATTTAATAGAGGCAAGCAATGTTAAAAATGAATTCGTTATTAATTAAATTTCTGGAAATATTTCTGCCTAGAAATAATCATAGTTTTATTTGTGCAGAGGGAACTGTATCTTTTTGTGCACAACGATGATGTAAAGAAATGGGTTTTTTGCCATGGGAGCAGGTATATGGGGATGCTATCCCCTCCACCATATTGTAATCACCTGTCACAGCCAAAAACAGTAGGAAAGGGGGGAGGCTCTCTCCCCTCCCCCACTACTTTGGGCCATCCCCCTTATTTGTTTACTTATTATATTTAAGAACTGCCCATCTCTTTCCCAGAGACTAGAGGAGCTGTACAAATGAAATATTAAAAACATAAGCCCCATGTATAAAATTTAATAGTGGCAAGCAATGTTAAAAATTAATTAGGAAGAGGGATTTAAGGGCACCAGCCAGCCCCACAGCTGTGTGCTTTTCTGTGCATCCCAAGCAAGGCTGCAGAGCCGTGTTTCCCAGCCTTTCTGGAAGGTTGTCCTGTGGATGTGTTTAAATTGAAGATATTAACACAATTCACCAAGAAAGAGCCTGAAAGAAGCAGTACAAATATTTTAAAACATTCAGGTACAAAAATTATTCTATTTTTTTTTTTTGCCTGTTCCTAGATTCCTTTGATTCCTCTTTTATTTCATCATCATCATTATTATTTATTCATGTGATGTTACCTGTCAAGTTACCTCTTTGAATCCTAAATCCTAGAGTTAGACATGCAAGTTGACAAGTAAACAAATACATAAAACAGATCTCTTACCTCAAAGAGGGCCTTCCCAGCATAATATAAGAATGTCTCCATGATGAATTCAATATCTAAACTCAACAGATATTAAATATGATAAAGAAATAAACAAATAGTATGTGTAAACTAAACTGAACTAAGTAAACAAGTGTGATATTAAATAAATTAACAAATAAGCAAACAAATAAATATTGTAAACTAAACCTAAGCTATATAAATGCAGTTAAATAAAAAATAAAACCAAAACCAAATCTAAACTGCTAGTCCTCGATGAGCATGGAGTACGCTCAGCACACAGAGAAAAAACTCTGAGTGAATGGCTTTTATTCAGCCCATCAAAAAGTTTTATTTACCTCTCCTTTGTGAGCTCATCTACCTCTCATCCCTCTTATGAAGCATGACCTCAGGAAGGAAAAGTAAAGCCATCTGATTGACTAAATGAATGCTACTCAGAGTTTTATCTATTTTCCAATATTGGGAGAAATGTTAAGTACAAAATCCTTTTGATCCATTTGGTGGAATCAGAGGATGAGATTAACAAGAAAAATACCATAGAAAAATATAGTGCCACCGAAGAAAGCAGGGAAATCTCTGGAGAAATATGCACAATTTAGGCTGAAAAAGAGGTGCAGAGGTGAGTGAGCAGAATTGGAGAGATATCTGTGTTTGGCAGAGTAAATTACAGTATGGCTCTTGCTCCACCACACTGTACTTGCCCGTTTCTCTTGAAAGAACTTTAGGAAGGCAACGAATCTACATTTGGAGGGTCTAAGACATGTACCTTCTCAATTGTGATGTCCTCAGTACTGAATATTCTTCCCAAGGTGAAGTCGGTCCCATCCCTTTTGATGTTTGAAAAAGGACAGGTTAAGGACAGGTTAGGTAACCAGGACTGTCTGATGGCATGTACACCTGAAGGAGCAGTGGGGGGAAGTTTGGGCAGCAGAGGGTTTTCTCAGAAAGAGATATAATAGAACATTATAAAAGATTGAACTTAATTGGATTTCCCTGTGTCTTTTCTGGGTTTCAGCCTGATACTGGGGTTTCTTTGGAACTGAAGACCTATCTAGATGGCTCCATTATGGGGAGGGTGGGCACTTTTATTTCTTCAACTATGTGATTTCCAGTTTTTTATGGTATTTATTATTAGGGTCTTTTACAGTATATATCTGTATTTGTTATTTTTATATTCTTTTTAAAAAAATCTTTTGTGCGCTGCCTAGAGTGACTTTGGGTGAGATAGACAACTATATACATTTGTTAAATAAGTACATAGGTAAATAAATATTTACTTGAATCCCCATAGGGGGGATTTCCTTTCTTTTTCCCTTTCCACTCTATTCTTTTTTTTAATCTCATTATACTATATTGTAAGCCTGAGCCCTGCTTTTTGGTTTGATTTTGTTTTTTGTTTATTTTTGCTGTTGACCTTGAATAGCTGGGGAACCGTTACTCTGAATATTAAATCTGCTACTTATCAGCTGGTCACACCTGGTCATGGCAATAGATGACTATACAGAGCTCAAAGTTGAGTAGTGGAGTCCTTGGTACTCTTTGAATTTGGTTATCTGCCTACAGACCGTTCCTTACCATAGTAGGTAACTTCTTCCTTGGTAGAAGGGAGTGGGGTTTGCTCAGTGGTGGGTTTGAAATAATTTAACAACTGGTTCTCTGCCCTAATAACTGTTTTAAGTATTAAAAAAATGATATACCGAAAAGTAGTTTATTATTTCATGCATTTAATACTTAAATAAGAACAATAAAAGAGGTACACAAAACTAGATTGTTATAAGAAAGTTCTAAAATATTAATGAAAAAAATATTAAATAATACCTGTCAAAAATAATAAAACTGTTATGTAAGGTATTTCCATATTGCTTCTTGATTGGCGTCCTCACTTGCAATTTTCTTCGCTTTTATCCAAACATCACTGGCTGTGTGATTTATCCCTAACCATCTTTTCACTGTAGGAGTAAGATCCCATTCCTTTAGAGGTAGGCCGATTAGAATAATAGTCATTTGTGTTTGATATATTAGAAACAATTAGCTCCCAAAGGATCCATGGAATCACTTATTTCAGTTCATTTCATAAGAACTTCACTGCTTCTTGAGATATTGCTGCTGTTTCACATTAAAATATACAACAAAATAAAATGTCAGTGTGTTTAATACACTCTTATTATTCACTTTTAAATCAACAACTCCATTCATACACCATTTTAAATAATGATTTAGTACAACATGCCTAAAATAAAGTCGTACAAGTTTGGAGTTCGTGTACCTGAAATATCAGTATCAATTTGTGATTTCCATTGTCCACTTTTAAAGAAGCCAACATCAAATCTTAGTTTCTTTTACTGTCTAGTTGAAATAAAATAAAATATGGATTAAAAACAACTTTAAGCCCTGCTTATGTAAAAAGGGGGGAAGACACACAAGAACTTCATTCCTCCCCCCCCCCCCCATATGACAAGAAGTCTTAAGTCTTAGACATGAGAGTCTAAGGTCTTGCCCAGCTTCTTTATACCATATAAGAGATCATTGTTTCATTAGATGGGCAGAAATCAGCTTTCAGGGTTCTTTGGATTTTTTTTAATTGCTATTTTTCACCAGTTCTCTCAGGAAAACTGGTGAAAAATATTAACTCGGGTAAGGATCATACAGTAAGAATTAATGAAGAAAGTGGCTATGAGCACACATTTAGCTCCAATATCAAAGTTAAGATCACCAAATATTTCACACACAAAAAAATCCTGGTCTTTTTTATTCCACCATAACAGAAATGCAGATCAAAGGTATGAATTGTCATGATTTTCATCTTGGATCTGCCCGAAATAATTAAAGATGTGACAATTTTTTGAACTCTTATGATGGAAATACTGAACAATATGTGGTCAAAATTATTGTTTAAAAATTAGATGTGATGCACTTGGACTCTTATATTTTTCAAACAAACCACAGAGCAATCTGCATTAATATGAACAAAAGCAAGGAAAAATCTGGTGATTTTAAGTGTCACAACAGAGGCACTAAAACTTCTTCAGATCCAGCCTATTGACTAACAGCAGAATTCATACACCCGAAAGAATGGATGAATGGAAAACAAATCCCCCCAACTGCAGAGGAACCACCCAGAAGCAATAAAACTAGCCCAGTTAACGTGCCCTGCCTCTTCTTCCCCAGGACTTTCAGTTCCTCCCTTCTCTGAGGTGAGAATAATTCTCTCCCATCACCAGCGAATGACAGACAAGAATTCCAAGCCCTTCCCAACCTCTGCCCCCAACTTCCCCATCAGTTGGTGAGAGGCCGCGAGCTAAAGATACACATGAGGATAGGAAGGCATGTGCTGCCTAGGCTCTTTGCACCAAGACAAGGCGCCCAAGCCCCTGGGGACATTGATGACATCTACCTAGGTATGGTGCCTCACAGCACTCACAGATGCTACCTCCGATGGTCAGGATAGAATATTTTCCCTAAAGGAGAAATGGGGAAAAAACCGTAAGGGAGGCAGAAACAAGCACCAGTCTCCCTGCTCTAAGCAGAAACTGATGAGGCCAGCTTTTAGAAATGCAGATTTGGTACTCCATTCAGAAAGACTGGGTCAGTCAGAAACTCCAGATAAGCGATTAGACAAGACAAGATTAGCTCAAACACCTAGGATTTGCATTTCCCCTTTTGCCTATAGAGCCACCCATGACCCCTACATGACCCATAGAAATCAAAAAGGTATAAAAACCCACCCTACTCTCAACATCATTTGATCAACTGTCCCAGAACTGCACACTGTGGGTTCTGTTCTTCAATAAACTTTCTTTCCAATCATCCTCCATTTTGTTTCCAGCGCCTCCCCCCCCCCCCCCCCTTGGAACTGAATTAGATGGATTTTCACCCAACACTAGTCTGGTAAGGAAACATCCAGAAACTAACCCACAAGCTTGGAAAATCAATCCCCACCCTCATCCTCCACCCAAACTACTTATTTGTGACTATCACAAACACAATCCTTCCGGAACCTGTCCTTCCGCCCCTCCTACCATCACAACTGAGGAAATTTTTGGATGAGAAGCAAAACGTTTTCTTCCTCCTCCTCAAGGAAAAACAGTCCAGTTGCCTTTTGAAGAAAAAGAAAAAAAAGCACCTTTGAGACAACTATGACCTGGATGACTGAGAATCTCCACAGACCTTCTTTCACATAAACATGAATGTTATGTTAAACGTAACGATTGGGTTGCTTCTGTCCCTTTTGACGCCTCATGCTAGTTGGCAAAAATGAAGTTTTGTGATTCTGCACCGGCCTCTTGTCTTGTCTCCTTGCAAGAGAAGCTTTAATTGTCTGAAATCAAGCAGTTTGGAGACCCAGACAGGAAGAAAAGGCTCAAGGAAAATCAATTGTCTTGATCTGTTGGGAACTCCCAACTTCTGCAAGGCTGCCCACCCCGAAGAAAAAAACACAAGGTCTGGCTATTGTGCAAAACGGATCCCCCTGAAAAGAGATCGGGCCTCTCCCATCGGTCTTTGAAGATCGAGTCTATTTTTTTCATTTCTTTCATCGCTCTCCGCCTCTGAGGTCAAAGGAGCCGGAGGAGGACCTGAAAAACATTCCGGTTCGGTGTGTGTCCCTGAAGCGCTTCCCGGCTGCAAGATCCACGGTAGTTATTTATTTATTTATTTTTAAGAGAAAGAGCACGCAGGCTCAACCACCAGCACAGCTGCCCCGCCCCCTTTGCACACTCACACAGCGCACACATAAACACACACACACACCCGGTGGAGCCGCTCCGCCTGTAACCGCTGCTGCAAAAGCGAAAGCATGGCTTTGTCGGAAGCGGGGGCTGCAAGGGGGCTCCTTCGGTTGCCTCGGATCGTGCTTTTCGGAGACTCCATTACTGAGGTGCCTGGGGGTGGGGGGGTGAGTGGGACATGGCCCCAAAACAGACGCAGAGGCCCTGCGCCCCTTCTCCCTCCCTTCCCCCGCTTCTGATTGATTTTCACCCGTCTTGCTTTTATTCTCCTTTTTCCTCTTACTTACTTACTTCAATCCCCCCACCCCAATCGCCTGCAGCCTCGATCTCTTCGGAGGTATATTCAATTCAAAATAGAGCTGAAAGGGACTTTAGAGGTCTTGTAGTCCAACCCAGCCCCCTGCCCAAGCAGGAGACCCTATACCGTTTCAGACAAGCGGCTGTCCAGTCTCCTCTTCTTAGGTAGAAATTTTTGAATAGAATTTTTTTTCTACCTAAGAATTTTTCTCTTAGAAAAAAATTATACTTAAGGTATTTTTTTTCTCTCTTCTTGGGTAGAAATTCACCAGGTGGAGTTTTTTTTTTGAGCTGCCCAAAGAGTCTTTGGGGGGGAGGGGAGACTTCCTTTGCTTAACGTGGATTGGATTTTCTGCGCCGTTTTTAAGGAGTAGCTTTTGAGTTGGCTGCCAGTTGGAGTTACTAGTGTAATGCGATCACAGCTGGGTTGCCAGGCTTGGAGCCCAAGTAAAAAACCGGGAAAGAGGAGATAATTGCATCTGACTTAAAATTTAAGGAGATAGGAGAAGTTTGGAAACGGGCTTTCTCTCTGTACCAAGCTCCAATCATCACCCAGACAGCATACAGTAATGGAAAATACAATGACTGTAATTGAAAACACAGTCGAGTGTCAGTACTTTTGTTGAAATAGTTGGGAAAGTCAAAAATGACTTCTGACCTGGCCTGCCTCGCTAGATTGTCATGCTTAATCTGAAATGTAAAGACTGGATTATTATTATTTTTATCCATCTTAAAATAGTCCTTAGAATGTGGGAATAAGTAAAGGAATATCTCTTCCTTCAGATTCCAACTGGGACTTTCAACCCATGTCTATTTT